TTACAGTCTTGCATTGATTGGAAATATAAATATCTGCTAAGGGATTCAATATTTGGGATGGACCTTTTCTCATCTCTTCCTTAGTTTTTGTAGAGAACTTGCTTGGCCACATACCTAAAATAGCTCTCTGACGTGTACAGTCCTGTTAAGGAATGTTACTGTGGCTGTCCAGAGTTCTCTGTGGCAGGAAGTTATGCAAAAGTGCATTGCTGCGCTGAAAGCCTTGTGATTAGGGTCCCAAAAGACTCTGTTCTTTAGTTCTTTCTTTCCCCTTTAGTGTAGGCTGGCTGGATTCCATATGGAAAGCAACATCCTTTTTTGTCTGTTTTTTTTGTGTGTAAGAGCTTGAAGGTTTTCAATATCATATAGAGATGGCTTGTTTTTTGTTTTTCTTTGTTTTCCTCTCACCGTTTTTAAAAACTCGCAAATGAGTAAGTTGCTTTTGTTCTTCTTACCAGCTGCTCTCCACCTCCCGATTCTTATCTTGCCCCTCCTACCTGCATTTTCCCTGTTTCCACCCTTCCTGTAGGGCACTATTGGTGTTATGTCTTTCAGTGAGGGGTGTGGCTGTGACCTCCACTGTTGAGTAGAAGGAGCAAAGTTGGCTAAGAGGATTCCTCTGTTGGCCTGAGCTGCTGATTCACCATGTGTCATCATTACTTTGTACAAGGATGCAAAGGGAAGCATGTTATTGAGATATTCACAATACTGGAATGACAGGATTCCTGTTGTGATAGTGAGTTTGGAAACTTTTTCCATCAAATACAGACTGTTGGAAAGAACTTGCATCACACCAGTGTTTATTACCTCTAGCAAGCAAAAGACACAAAGATAAGTGATATCACAAAATACTTCTTTTACTAGCTATTCTTGCACTCTCATACCAACTAGAGGAAGAGCACAGCTACACATGTTGAAGTGTTTATGCGTCTGTTTTGTTGGAACCACTTTGGATTATGGCAGATTAGGTTAAACCTTGGCAGTGGCACTTAGTCAAGATTTCAGTCCTTCGTTTTAAAGCTTTAGAAATGCCAGTTTTGTATTTCACATACAAAAAATGGTATCTTCACAACTTTAAAACCTTTATTCCTTAGATACACTATATTGTCAAATGTATTCAATTAAAACAAATTCTTGTTCTTATCAATTCCAAGGCCAAAGGGAGTATTGGATTAACCTCTATACCTGCACACTGCCTCTGCAAACATAGGATGCAGCCTGTGCAATAAAGTCCAGCAGCTATATGTACTGTCTGTTAACCGTCAGTGGTTGTAGCAAAGCAGAAGAGATTGCAAACAAATGCTGTTTAACAAATAGTTGTTCTCCATGTAAAGTCATAACGGGGGTTCAGCAGATGCTGAGGAGGTTTTCAACTCTCTGGAGAGTGCTTGGTTATAGATATCCAAACTAGGGCTGAAACAATGAATCGGGATCAATCGATAATTGAAATAATCGTCAACTAATTTAGTAATCGATTAATTGTTAACTTGAGTGTAGAGACTCTAAAATTGGCCCTTAGCTGCAGAGCTACCCAATTAGACCAGTAATTGTAAATGGTAAAAAAAAAAAAAAAAAAAAAAAAAATATATATATATATATTAGGGGTGGAACGGTTCACAAAATCCACGGTTTGGTTCGGTTCACGGTTTAGTGGTCACGGTTTTTGTTACACCGAAAAATAAAAAAATTTATAAAAATTAATGAAAAAATAAAAATGAATGTAATTAATGAAAAAATCCCCCAAAATTAATGAATTGTAAATATTTTTTTAATGATCCGCGGAAACCCTGGATCATTTCCACATGTTTTGCTGCTTTGAATTTAATCATCTCGCACATGCCCTCTACGATCTCCAAGGAACTCAGAGCGGAGCGGACGGAACCCACAGCTGAGGCTGTAGACTTTGCTTTGTGCAGGCGGTCTGGAGCGCAGCGGAGCGGAGCGGAGCGCTGACGGAGTATGTGGGATTTCGGGGTTAGCCTGACATGTTGGTCATGTTTCTGTTGGCACAAACAAAACGTGTTGCACAATGCTTGCACACTGTTGCACTTTTATCCACAACTTTCTTTCCGCCGTCATCGTAGGTCACTCTAAATGCAAAGCGGTCCCATACAGCAGACCTATAAAGTGCTGCCGGCGCGTCTTCCAACTCCTGTTCTTTCCCACTCGCCATACCCACACAATTCTCCTAAACAATTGATTTTTTTCTGCTACACCCAGCTACGCTGCTTCGCTTCTTCTTCTTCTTGTTTACTACTGGTGGTTGGCTTTGGTTGCAGTACCCCCACCTTCTGCTCTGGAGTGTACACGCTTCGCCTATGAGAAAAAGGAGCTGCGCATGAACCGAACGCAACACACGCAAACCGAACCGAGACAGTCGAACCGAACGGTTTGGACGGTTTTCAAAAACCGTTCCATCCCTAATATATATATAAACATTTTCCATTTAAGATAAAAAAAAAAGTGTTCTTTGATAATATGCACTATTCAGAATGCCTACATTGGAAATATTTTAGTTTCAACCGGTTTATTTTTGTTAAAAAGTCTTTTTTAAGGGACCTTTGGCTATCTGATTATCAATAGATTATTCGAAAAAAATAAACAAATTTGTAGTTTTGCTAAATAATTGTTGATTGCAGCCCTAATCCAAACTTCACATTGCTTTTTTAAATTTAACTGGGAACAAGATACAGGCCTTTGCAATGTAACCAGTTTGTTTGCAAATTTAACCACCGTGATGGTGGGACTAAAATGGAAAAAAAAATCGATATTTTTTTTTTTTTTTATGGGTATCTGGGGTTGACACACAACCGCAAATCCATAAAAAAAACCTCCATAGAACAGCATTGGATGAACTACAGTGAGAGACCTCATAGGGCTAGTCGATTGGTTTTATTAATTAGAAATTCTTTGTAAATGAAAATTTAATTTTTGCATATTTTTCATCAATCTACTTAGTCTCCTTCCATAGCTTAGAGATATCGGTTAATCTTTTTTTTTCTAAGATATTAAACACGTGAATATGTGTCTTCAGTCAGAGGCTTCTTCAGAACCGCTGTAAGACAGACAGCTACAGAAGAATCTTCTTGCTCACAGCCATCAGGATCTACAACTTGTTGAAGAAATTTGCATTTATGAGTTGCAGCAAAATTATTTTTCAAATTAATTTAAAGTCATATTTATCTTACTGCAATATACAGTGAGTGTTTCATTAATGGGTCCCTATCAGGGTTTCGCCAGGTTGGGGTTAGGAATTAAAAATAGGCCATTCAGATCTTCAGAAATATCGCTAAAATAGAACTACCGGTAGGAAGAAACGGTTGCCTATGCTGTCTTTCTGCTTACATCCATTCATTGACTTGCTCTTAACGTGTGTGTACTCAATAGGGAGGGTCACAGGCCTCTGTTGTTGCTATTCTCTTATTCTGAAGCTTAAAAGCTTTGGAGCAACTGAGTGACTCATCCATGTTGTCAGAAACTTTTCCTTCACCCCAAATTTGCTTTTTAAGGAGAGGAGGAAATTTATTTATGGTGCAAGCTTGGCTTTACTAATTAGAACATTTAGCCAGACAGACATAACATTTTTTTGGATTAGAAATGATAATGAATAGAAAATAAAGTGAACAGTTTTTTTTTCTCAGAATTTAATATTTCTATAAACAAGTAATTCTTGCTCAGCCATATTTGCTTAACAAATTGTCCTTATAATTATCTTTTTTTTCTGTCTGGTTGCCCTGAGCTTTGTGTAACGCGCACTACAGGCATCCTTTTGCTGCTTCTGTCATTGGAGAAAGTTCACCTTGATTTCTTCAAGGCTCAGTTTGCTCAGTATAAACAGTGAAGCTAACATTAGCTCAGCTTATACAAGGTTGTAAATTTAAGATGAATCATAATTTTAAAGCCTATGGATACTGCTCTCAGAACACATTCATGACTGTGTTGAACAAAGTCCTTCAATTATGACTTCACTTAAAGTCAGACGCTCATTGAGAGTCAGTGGGGGTGAACGCACCCAACGCGTTTTTTCTGAAAAGGGACTTGCGTAGCTCAGATTGAGATAATAAAGGATAGCATGTTATTTTAGGTATTTAAGGAATCATGTATGCCATGCAACTATGTGTATGTAATGAAAGACCCTCAAGGAGAATACAAAATGGAATCTTTCAATAGCATGAGAAAACAGGTTTGGAGTTGAACATATTGTGGAAAAGACTTTGCATAAACAGTCAAACATATTTTAACATTTTTAAAACAGAGTACTTTACCTATAATAGGAGTTGAGGAGAACAGAAAACTGAGAAAAGTAGCAATCCTCTTTGAGCCGCGCAAAAACAAGGGACAGTAGAAAGTGCAGCTAATCATTCTCCAGGGGAAAAAAAAAAACAAAAACTTGGACAAACATCACAGATCCCTCTCTGACAATCACCTCTCATTGCTTCACTCTGTATCCATATAAACCATCCCACAGCCTTTATTGGTGCGTTTTACTTTTCTTAAAACTTAGTTCCCATATTTTTAATATAAGCCTATTAAAATTCTCCAGCTGTTTGGGTTTAAGAGGTGCTTGACAGACTCATCAGCTGAGGCTCTCCCCGCTTAGTAGGAGTCTGTATAGGCAGTGCAGTCAGTGTGACATGAAAAAATATATGATGGTTTAGAAAGTCCAACGAAACTGGTGGGACTCTGGCTTAATTGTCAGTATTTACATTAATCACTTTGTGTGTGGCAGTGAAGTACATTTTTACCAATTCTTTTATGAACTGGGGTTATTGCACAATCAATGCTGCAGCCTTTTTTTTCTAAGAAAAATATCAATATAGATCCCGTATCAATATAGATTTACCCATTGCAGTGAAAAGAAACTCCTTTGTGTTTCTTTTATTGTGTTTCATCCTTTGGAGAAAACAAGTCTGTCTGAATCAAATCAAGTCTCTGCTCTCCTTATTTCATCTGTAGAGTGTTTTTTTTTTTCCATCTAAACCTTGTTCCTCTTCCCTCAGGATGGCTTGGATGCTCTGGTATACGACCTCGACTTCCCTGCCCTTAGGAAAAACAAGAGCATTGACAACTTCTTGAATAGATGTAAGTATCTTGGATCATCGCTTCGGCTCTCATGTATTCTTTTTAAACAGGGTCTCCCGTTTGTACTCACAGACCCCTGTTACATTCAGGGTTTATCTAGGCCCAGAAGAGAAGGCCGTTTTTGGGTCACTGTCAGTATGTATGCTTGGACACAATAGGTGGCTGCTGCTTAGTGTCCCTAACAAAGGGGCTTTCATAAATGACCAGTGACCCACATGGTGCATATCAAGATTGGCTTCTTTTTCCCAACTGCCCTGAAATCTTAAACTCCTCCTCCAGTTGAAATTTACATGTAATGTAAATATTGTTTTCCTCTAAAGTGTAACTGATTTTCTTGGAAAGGCCATCTATCATTATACACAGTATCCCTGAACTAGTTTTACAAAGCCAGCTATTCTGGGGTGGGGGGGCAGGGCTCTGATGTTGTAACTTGGCCATGTATGTCTTTAATTTCCTGAATAACATCCAGTTAACCTATAATTTAATGAAAACAACAAATACTGCCTCTCATCCGTTTTTCTGCCTGGGTATGTTGCTCCTGGTTTGTGTGGAAGCTTTTTATTTTAAAATTTTCTTAGCTTCACAAAAGCGGAAAAGTAATTGACCAAGGAAGGAAAAAAAAAAAGAACTGCCGCTTCAAATCTACTCGATTATTCCTTATCCTGTCTCTTTGTGTGAAACACTGATGGATTTGGACTAATGGATTAGCTGCTGGACCTTAGCAGTTCAACTTGCCTGAAGCGCTCTGGGCTTCAAATTCTTTCTCTGCGTTGCCCTCCACAGTAGTTTTAGTGTAGTAGTGTATTTATGCAGAGAAAAACGCTGGGAGAAATAATCCTACAAAACACACAATTTACACAAATGTGCATTAGATAAACAAAAAGTATAAAATTCTATATCTTATATATATTTAAAATGTGGCCATTGGCATGCTATTTTATTTTTGGATCTTTTAAACTCTGATGTCTTTAAAAGTTGTGTTTCCATGCAAACTCGTGCCATTAGTGACCTTTGTGAATTAAAAATGATCCCCCTACCATAGCTTTGACCAAATTTGGCCTAATGATGGATACGATCTCTCCTAAGGGAGCTCAGAGATATGACATTGGGTAGAAGCCAACTCTCAATCAGCAACAAACTTTCCCTAAACACTCTGTCCTTTTTTCTTTCTTTTCTGGTTAGTTAGGCAACAATTCTGCTTACTCTCCATGACAGAATTATTCAAATCTTATATTTTACAGGAAGAAGTCGATGGCTCATATTCTTTACTGGATAATTTGTCAGCATGCTTTCCCATTACTCTGGAAGCCCAGAGATGAAACAGTCATTCAGAGGCATAGCATTAGTATAGAAATTCATGAAATTTTAGTACAATACAGAGCTCCTTTAATATACCATCAGTCCAGCAGGTGGTAGTAATGAGAACACACAGCGTATTTTCCCTTTCTTCACAGCACTTAGCATCGGGTGACCAGACGACCTCTTTTCCCCAGACATGTCCTACTTTTCATACCTAAAAAAAATGTCCAGGGCGAATTTCTAAATCCTCCGGGATTTTGGTCAACTAAAGTGCAGCAGAACTGAGCCATCAGCACCGTGGTGATGTTGGTTTGAAGTTGGATATTGGATATTCTAGGTCCGCTGAGTCAGCAGGATCTAGCAAACGGTTGATCCGACTGAGGTACCCCGATGTCGACCAACGTCTCTCAGCGGTTCCCTCCTCCCACACGCCGTGGTGCAGTTAGGGACCGTCAACAAATCTTTAAACCAAGCTGTCTTGAGAAACATAAATCAATAAATTCCTTATCTTATGACCAGCTAATAATAAAATATCATGCCAATAGATAACACCTAAGGCACACATGCTTTTATGCAATTTTAAGCTCTTTTTAAATTTTAAGATATTTTTAAAGACAAAAGTCGACTTTTCTTCAATAGCTTCCAGCTCATGTGACCTACTGACTCAAATTCTTTGTGAAATTGTTTTACTACATTAGCCTGATGAGGCACACTCATTTTTATTCCAATTTAAGCCTTTTTTCAATTTTAAAGTTTTTTATACTGAAAGAATTAGATATTTCTGCAATAGCTTCCAGCTCATGTGACTCCAAATCTATTCTTTGTGAAATAGTTTTATGGTACTACATTAGCCTGATGAGGCACACTCATTTTTATTCCAATGTAAGCCTTTTTTCATTTTTAAAGATTTTTTTATACAAAAAAAATTGAGATGTTTGTTAAGCCTTTGCATATTTTTGCCTTACCGTGTGGGGGGAAGCATACCGTCGGGTTCGGGCGCTCCGTCCCTGGCTGGCTCAAGACCAGGTACAGCCCCGGAGCTGATGGCTCGGTTCGAATTCCCGGTCCAGTCCAGTCAGTCTTCCTTTTCAGAAACCCTAATCTGGTAACCCTAACTTAGCAAGTACAAAGTTGCATTATTTATTTATATATTTTTAAATACATCAATGTCAAATAATGTATTTTTAAATCAACCTACTTCTGACAAGAGTTGCTTAATAACTGCATAAATAAATATATCTACAGCAAAAACAGAAATGTTTTTTCTTGAATATTCTGGCAGTTCTTAACACACACCTAATGAACGCTTTATATCCCTTTTGGTCATTACAAGCAGCTATCAGGCACTGGGTAATCCTCGAGCCCCTGGCCAGGCTTGACTGTGCTGTTTTGGGATTGCCCCTGCTTCTACAGCCTGGTTAGCCTAATTAGCCATTGACGCCACACTAGCCCCAATCAGCGGGGCTCTGCAACCCAAAAAGCATGTTAAAAAGTATAATCAAATTTTTAACTGATGAAGTTTTAATATGTTCTTTCTTTCTTAAAAAAATCTTAAAATGACTTTCTGTTAAAATATTCTTTGTTTCTTTCCCCTACCAGATAAAAAAACTATTAGTAAAATAAGGGATTTGCGAATGAAAGCAGAAGACTATGAGGTGGTTAAAGTTATTGGAAGAGGTGCATTTGGAGAGGTTCAGTTGGTGAGTATTTACAGTTTTATTATCTTATACATAATGGTATGGATGATTATGAACTGACAACTATTCTTTTTTTATCCTTTATCAGGTAAGACACAAATCCACACATAAAGTATATGCCATGAAGCTGCTGAGCAAGTTTGAGATGATCAAAAGGTCAGATTCCGCTTTCTTCTGGGAAGAGAGGGACATAATGGCTTTTGCCAACAGTCCGTGGGTTGTGCAGGTAGGATCTTTATTTGTTGTCTAAATGTAAATTTAAAAAATATGAGAAGATTTTGATTTCTATCTTGATAATTTCTCTGTAATAAATTGGATGTGCTTTATTTTTCACAGCTCTTTTTTGCATTCCAAGATGACCGCTACCTCTATATGGTGATGGAATACATGCCTGGTGGGGATCTGGTTAACTTGATGAGCAACTATGACGTCCCAGAGAAGTGGGCCCGCTTTTACACAGCAGAGGTGGTGCTTGCTCTGGATGGAATCCACTCCATGGGTTTCATTCACAGGTGATTTGAACCATATGCCTTTTTGCCCCTATCTTCTATTTGTTTATGTGACTATTAAGATATTAGATAAGCAATCTAATAAATATGAACAAAATCAACAATTAAACTCATATACTTACTAAAATCAAAAGCCTACTATGATCTTTTAAGAATAGTAAACATATCTTAGCTGCTATTGTAAAGAGTGAATAATTTTGAGTGAAAACTTTGATCTACACTTTCTTCTCTTTAGTATTTTAGGTTATATACCTCGTTTTTTGTTGTTATCCTCTTTTGCTAATGTAACTCTGGGAATAGATGTCTCAGAGCTAGATGATAACCCAACAGATTTGCTCTCACAAGCAGACCATTATGGCTGTTGCCACAAGGTTTTGTTTGGTACTTGTATATGAAACTTGAAAATTGTTGTGGGACCTACAACGGACATGGAGACTGATAGAGACTTAGGGGAGAGAGAAAGAGACAGAGAAAGGAAAATAGCACATGAAAAGAGAGAAAATAAAAAAGCAAAAATAGAAAACACAAAGATGTACAATAACAGCTAGTAGTCTGCTTCCACACCTTTATGAAATGAGAGGGACAGAAAACAGCGAAATAATAATAGCCAAAAGAAGACAACAGAGAACGAAAGTAAACCTAACAAAAGCTTCAAAATTAGTGGTTATCCCTTAGATATCCATGTGGGTGTGAGGCAGAACTTAGAGTGATTTCTAAATATTATTCAGGGTGGTATATATCTGTCACTGTAGCTTGGTATTTACTATTAGTGTGTATCCATGAACGCCTACATCCAAACTCCCAATGTATGCATGAGCTTGCTCCTTTATAAAGGATTTACAAAGCTCCTTTTGAAGGAAAATATGCTCAATAGCAGGTGTAGGCGGCCCCAGACTCACCCTACAGGGCCCAGGATCGTTTAATAGGCGACTCAAGCCTATTAAACAATCCATGGGCACCCCATATCACTCTAACTCAAGGAGGGCGGATATATTAATGGCCGCCCCCACCAGAGAAGGGCAGATGAAAGCAGCTGGAGCCTGACTCCTGAGTGGCCTGCCTCTGTAGGCAATAGTGCTGAGGTCCTATGGGCCTGGGGCAGTGAGTCACATTCACTCAATCCCACCCTTGCACCCATACAGATATATATAAGCACTCAAGACAGCTGTACACACTTAGACTCCTCATACATACACTGTCCTCCCAGGTCTAGGTGCCAATCATTCTAGGAGGAACAGGCGCACAGACACAGGAGGAGATCCTCAAACGCCTCACAGTAGGAAAGGTTCAGGTAGCCGGAGGTCTAAAGGGCAAAAAAAAAAAAAAGGTTTGGGATCGGATACCACCAAAGGGAGGAGAGCGGCAGTGTAGCCCAGGTCTAGCCCCAAACACCAGCCCAAACCCTACCCCAGGAGGGACATCCCTTACCAACGACGCTAGCCTCAGCCCCTCCCCGGCATTCCCTCTATAAGCCACACCTCCATCCCCAAAGATGCCAAAGCAGGTATCCAGCCAGCTGAAGAGCCCACCCTGTCATCAGCCACCAGTCACAGCCATTCCAGGCCTCCACATCCATATGGTCCTCTCATATCCATTGCTACCAGCCAATCAGGCCCAGACAGTCCACCCCTCTAGGCCAAGTACAGCATGCTAGCCACCCAAACCCAGGTGATAAACACCCCCAAGCATCCCCTCACCCGTCTGCAGGTACAGGATGCACATATTTACAATTTCTACTAAATATATTGAAGCAAAATTGTGCAGGGTCAGATCTAAGTTATATAACACAATAGGAATATCAAACACTACACAGCATCTCTCACAAGCAGTTAGTTGAAATAAGCAGTTTTTTTTTCTTTTACATTTTTCTGATTTAAGATTTATAATAAACACACAATCTCTTGGTGTTGTGAAGCTTTTGCTATTATCGTGACCTTGTTGATCAGGTCATCTAGCTGGTCTGAGTCTAAGACAAGTTTCTTCCTTCTAAACTAAGACTGGCCAATAAAGTGATATATCAATTCATTTGAATTTACCATTTATAAAGATTAAATTTTAGAAGACTTAGAACTTATTTTATGTTTTACTAATGCATATTTGGGTTTTAAGAGTTTAGAGTCACCCTGTCGCTGTTTGTTCTTAGATGTATACTCAGAACTGATAAGCTGGTTCATTGTGTAACAGCAACTAGCTGCAAACATTTTTCTGTTATGTTTTTCATTGTTTACAATGGCAGAGCCTGCCAATTTGTTTTACAAGCAGGTTTCACAGCTCATATTTAGTTGCACTTTGACTTCAGAACACCTCCCTGAGGGCATGCTGGAAATGGGAGCATTTTTCAAAAGTAAAGGATGTCATATATCAATAGTTTTCATGAAAAAAAGGAAGCAGGCAATATAAAAACAAATAACTGACTTACAATTGATTGTCGATTAAGGGTTTATTAGATTAGAATTTGTTCTGCCTGATTAACTGATGACGTACATTAGGGATATTTTTGTATTGTAGTGTTGCTGCCATCCAGTAGAGGGCAATCACTAGTATTTGTAGGATAAGTAATGCTGGAGCAACTGCAATCTGTAGCACAAACATGAATCAGTCCAGCGTCCCGTCTGGTATTATTTACACTATTTTATGGTGACAAGATTACAACTTATGCGATTCTGCTTGTAAATATAAGCACTTGATAAACTGTAGTTATCAGCTAAATAGTGTTTAGCCATTTGGCCTGGTTGCATAGTGGAGCAAATTTCCTATCCCTGATATAAACACTTGAATTTTGCTTCCAAATACTTCAATTGGGGCACTACAAATGCAATCAATTGTACATATGAAAGGAGACTTAAAAAGACAAAAAACAAAATGCATACATTGGTATTTGACTCAGTTTAATTACTTATTTCATGGATCCATGCAAGATGTCATACATTTCCATTGTTTAATCACTAATATTGATCTAAGTTGGTCAGCAGGGGCAGCACTGCTCTTGTCAAGTCAGTAGCTCTTTAATGGACCAATTTTGGAGGTGAATAAATAAATTCACGGCTTATACATTTATAAAAGATGTTGTAATAGTTGGGACCTTTTGTAAAGTATGTTAAGTGAGGATTCTCATATTCTTTGGGTTTGGGCACTTTTAGCCGTCCATTGAGCGGTGCAAGTTATCTTTGTTTATATCTTTGTAGCTAACATAGGTTTAACGTGAATGTGCTGTTTTTGCTGACTGTTTATATGTTTTTGTTTCAACAGAGATGTAAAGCCTGATAACATGTTGCTCGACAAATCGGGTCACTTAAAACTTGCAGACTTTGGAACGTGCATGAAAATGAATGAGGTACCACTTACAGTCTCTTTATGAAAAGCAAGAATCTGGTTGAAAAAGAAGAAAGTCTTAGATATTCTTACTTTTTCAATAATATAAATAAATGAGTTTGAAATGTCTACCTTGTCAGGATGGAATGGTACAGTGTGACACAGCAGTTGGAACTCCAGACTACATTTCACCAGAGGTACTGAAATCCCAAGGAGGAAACGGGAACTATGGAAGAGAGTGTGACTGGTGGTCAGTGGGGGTGTTTCTTTATGAGATGCTTGTTGGTGAGTTTTATCTCCCCCCCAATATTTTAAGAATAAAGCTGTGACTGACCACAGAATAGGCCCTTTTCTAATAACTGTTGTTGGTCTTCTGCACAGGCGATACTCCCTTCTATGCAGACTCATTGGTGGGGACTTATAGTAAAATCATGAACCACAAGAATGCCCTGACCTTCCCAGATGACAGTGACATTTCCAACGATGCCAAGAATCTCATCTGCGCTTTCTTGACTGACAGGTTGGATAAAAACAGAAATCTTTGTTCAGAAATCCACTCAGTAGACCCTACGTGGATAGAATTTGGATAGAAGCATACATTTTCAACGTGAATTGCCTTCCACTGTCATGGAGTCCTTATTCCATCAAATTCTAAACACTTCTCCCCTGCAGGGAAGTTCGGCTCGGCCGGAATGGAGTCGATGAGATTAAGAGGCATCCTTTCTTCAAAAATGACCAGTGGACATGGGAAAACATCAGAGAGAGTACAAATATTTCATGTTTCTTTCCTTTTTATCATCATTTTACAAAATCCTACTTAATTTGGCAGCAGCAGTACTGTTATTTCAATCATCAACCCGTGATCATTTTTTTCCCATTTGACCTAGTGCAGACAGTTGCAGGAAATTCTTGCAGACAAGCCATTCATTCAGTATCCTTTCCAAGACTAAACGTGATTCCTGCTCAGAGAATAATTGGCAAGCTCAGCCTCTTTGAGGCCAAGATGGGGAAGCAGTCCAACTCCAATGTAAATGTGTTGGGAGTGACGCTGCAGTTCTGAGCGATTACAAATGTAGGGTTTAATCCAGTAGCTTCTGGCAGGTCTGTGGTGGCTTTATGTTTGCTGCATTGCAGGGCTGAAGTCAGGACTTAGGTTTTTGCTGCCTCTGTTGATTCTGCCAGTTAACTGTTTTCACTTGGTTTGAAGTTGCCTTTGAAATATAGCTAATGTATCAGTTTGTGCAATGACACTGAAGCTTATTGAAAAAAAAATCTTGATTTTGATTTTAATAACGATGTGCAAATAACTAATGTTCAAACAACATATTACCAAGAATTCCAAGATGACAATTTCTGTTGCTTTTAAATAATAATAGCAAGCTTTGACCTAAGTCTTTTGCCCTATATTTAATTTATGTGCAACTGTTTTTAATTCTGCTCTGTGTTTTGTAGCCGCTGCCCCTGTGGTGCCTGAACTGAGCAGTGACACTGACACCAGTAACTTTGATGATATCGAGGAGGACCGAGGAGAGGAGGAGACCTTCCCCATACCGAAGGCCTTTGTGGGCAATCAGCTCCCTTTTGTCGGCTTTACATATTACAGCACTCAGCAGTAAGTCTGTCAGGCCATCTTAAAACCATCATTTCAACCAGTGCTTAAGCTAAACTTTACTATTATATAAAGACGAAAGAATTACATTGTTGAAATTTTAACCCATCTTTAGAACCTTATCACTCTGAAATCTGTTGGATAAATTTTTAATTTTTCTTTGGATAGGTGAGAAGCTAACATGCTAATGAAGCATGGTGTTTATAAATCGCCTCAGCTGATTTTGATTCAGTCAGGGGCGATTTCAACAAACCAGGACATCTGCAAACCCCCCATACATGAAAGCTTGACACGAAATCTAAAAGATCTGGGGTCTTAATGGAGAATGTAATATATTGATTCAGCCTGCAGAATGAAATAAGATATCCATTTTAAACAGCTAAATTCAACAAAAACTCCCTGGTATACATCGGACTGGTTTGTTTGACCAAAACAACACAGAGGATTTGTTTATTATCCAATAAGAAAAATTCTACTTGAGTTGAATAATACCTTTACAAAACCTCACTTCAGAAAATTTTGAATTAACCCTTTAACTCCCAAAAGGCTTTCAACATTTCCAAACCCAGTGGGTTCAATGGTAGACAGAGGTTTAATGCTCAGCACCATGAGGCAGCAGCTGTACTGTTAGCCTCAATAAACCTGCGGTATTTGGTAGATAACTCAGCCACCTTAATGATTACAAGAAGAAAGGACATCAAAAAATACAATGATTGGTAGAATTAAGTCCTGAATTATAGAAAGCATTTGTTGTCTAATAAATAGGTATATATAATTTAAATACAAAGTCCTGTGTCACATTTTCTTTTTTTTCACCATTTACATGTTTTATGATTATTTCTTAAATAAAATATGGTTACAGTTGCCTTTTAAAAATGTTTACCTAAACTGAAATTCGGAAGAGATTCATAGAGACCTTTTTTGACCCCCCCAGTCATTTGCGTGGTCCTGCTGCCTCAAAGACGAGTGACAAACGTAGCAGTTCAACGAAAGAGGACAAGAGTCACGTGAGTGCATCACACATGGAAGCTAAGAACACAAGATATAAAATGTTTACCAATTTTTTATCCTGCAATAAAACTGGCATTCTTGTTAATAGTTGGAGAACCTGCAAAAACAGATCTACCAACTACAGGAGCAACTCCACATTGAAATGCAACAAAAAGATGAGCTGGAACAGAAATGCAGGTATGGACCAAGTCATTACTCTTTCACAATTTGCATTTACTGAAATGGTTCAAGTAAAAACATATGAAGTATTGTGACTTCATCCCTGCTGAGCTTAGTTGTTTAAAAGAATCCCACAAGCAAATGTTTCTGGTTAAGTTGGGATATTTGAAGGAAGAATGCACAGGGATAAGTTATTCCCTTGGTGTAGATGGATCCCTTACACTCTGGTGGAATGTGACTCTGATTATAAACAGGAAACATTACATACAGCAGTAACCGTGGGTAAGATTTTCAAACTACTTTATATGATATGTTTCTGTTCCCCCTAGGACGTCAAACACAAAGATGGAGAAGATTATGAAGGACTTGGATGAGGAGGTAACTGTTCTTTATAGAAATTTCAAGTAAGCTAAGTAAGCATGAACTGTTTTCAGTGCCGTGTTGACTAAATGTCATAGTTCTTCATTAGCTTTTAGGTTTGACAAAACATCATTACTTCTGAGGAAGTGACGCTAACTAAATGCCTGTTTATCATCTTTGGCTTTGGTTAAGTAAGGATTTGGTTTCCTCTGCATCACAGCGGCCCTCTGTTTTTCCTTGCCACAGGCGAACCTGAGGAAGAGTGTAGAAGCCAGCATGTCTCTGCTGGAAAAAGACAAGATTATGCTGCAGCACAGAGTCACAGAGTATCAAAGAAAAGTTGACCAGGAGGGAGAAAAAAGGCGCAATTTAGAGAATGAAGGTAAAACTAATGAAGTACTGCTGAATTTACAAGTAGGATGTTTGTGTAATCCTCTGGGATCTTTGAAATAGAAGAACCTCTTGGTGCATTTTTGTATCTTTATCACTTTTCTAGTTATTTACATCGAAGCATTTAGCTATGAGATTTCTGGGACATATTTTTTATAACAAAGAAGCTTTAAGGCTATTTTAGAGTTTTTATTTTGTGGATTTAAACATGTAATGTGGCTTTCTTTTCTTTTTAGTGTCAACTTTAAAGGAGCAGCTTGAAGATATGAAGAAGATCAGCCAGAACTCACAGGCCTCAAATGATAAGATTGCCCAACTGCAGAAGCAGGTAGCTCTACACACACACACCCCCCCACACACACACACTGATTGCCTGGGTAAGAACAATGCCCTCAGTCAATCTGCATCAAGACTTTGATTCAAAAAGGACTGGAGCTTTTTTTTCTAGCTGTCTGAGGGTGTAAACCCTCCCAGTCAGTTACAGAAACATATAACCATCCCAGCTTCAGTTCATTTCAAGTGTATCTAATCAGGATGTTCATGTGACAAACCAACACAAAATTATTGTGAAGAAAGGGGATACATAGGTGTCACTTACAGAAAAAATTTGACCCAACAACTATTAGTTGTCTGTTATTTTTATCAACCATTGCAAGAAAGACAGACATAAGAAGGCTAGTTAGAAAGTCTCCACAAACTGTGGAGGAAGAATCTGCAAACGTTTGGAAGGATGTTTCTCTGGTCAAAAGAAATGTTTTTTTGTTATTTGTTTTTCTCATCACGATTAATCAGTTCTTAAATAAATTTTCAGCACACATGGAAAAAAACATCACATAGGCATAAAAGTCCCAGTGCTTTAACCAGTGGCTTAAAAAAATGAATGATAGACTTTGAAGATTTGGTTTTGTAATTTTATGCAGCAAATCCTTTTTCTTTCACTTCAAGAGTGCTTAATAGGTGTTCTGAATACATTGCAGTCACTGAATACTTTAGGATTGCAGCTAACTTTGCTTGTTGATTCTTTAATGAAGCAACCAGCTAAAGCAACACTGATGATACTTTTCGCACTCTACTGCTTGAGCACAATTACTAAAACTTTGTTGTTTTTTCTCTTATTGTTACTAAAAGCTGGAGGAGGCAAACGACTTGCTGCGTGCAGAGTCAGACACAGCAGCAAGACTGAGGAAGAGCCACACAGAAATGGCAAAGTCGATGAGCCAACTGGAGACTATGAACCGTGAGCTGCAGGAGAGGAGCCGGGCGGGAGACGGAGAGAAGGCACAGCTGGAGAAGGAGCTCCTGCTACTTCAGAGCACGCTCGAGTCAGAGCGAAGGAACTACAGTCAGGGATCAGAGGAGATGAGGGAACTGCAAGGTGACTTGGTGTTACTCATGCCAGTCTTTAACTTTAGAGAAGGAAAGGCTTAATTTGAGTCCTTCTGAATTCTTTTATCCCAAAATAGCATTCAAATAGATGCTCTGCCTTCAGGGATTTAGCAAATGATTATTTAGGCTGGAAACAATAAGAATATGAAGATTTTCTTATGCCCCCTCCCTCTCATTAACAGAAGTTTAGAATCAGTGTGACATGATTAGTTTGGAATGAAGGGCCTTAAAATGTATAATAAAAGTCAAGCAAACAATTACTTGGGCTGTAAAAAGATTGATTTTACAATTAAATTTGGGGCTGACTTTGTTTTTATATGCAGCGAGATTGGCTGGACTGCAAGAGGACAACAAAAACTTGAAGATCAATCTTTCTAAAGTGGAAGGGGAACGTAAGCATGCCCAAGAAAGGAGCAACTACCTTGAGAAGGTACACACAGATTACACTTGCAGCGAGTATTTCTGATCTAAAGAAGTAGTGTTGATGTTGTCTTCATCTTTGTTCTCACAATAGGAAATGAACGGTTTGGAGATTGACCTGAATTACAAGCTGAAGACCCTCCAGCAGCGCCTGGAGCAGGAGCAGACAGAGCACAGAGTGACCCGGGCACAGCTCACTGACAAATACGAATCTATTGAAGAAGCCAAATCAGCTGTTATGATTGGTATGCCAGCCCTGTGTCGCAGCATGCCCGTCCATCTTCTCTGAGTCTTTTCTTTTTTCAGGGGAGATAGATTTCATATGTTTTGCATCATTTGCTATATTTTAGTAAAAGACTTATTTAAGCCTCAGCTTTTTTTAATGTGATCTAAAGTTAGCTTAAATTCAGTGTTTGGAAGCCACCGAGCATGCTGGGTAACTGCAGGCTGATAAGGATTATTTGGCCGTCAGTCTAACTGATCACCGATATATAATGGGAAATTTTTGGGCAGATTCTTGGATAGGGCTGGGTATGGTTCAAAAATTTTCGGTTCCGGTACCAATACCGATACCTTCACTTCGATACCGGTTCCTGAACGATACTTTTTTCGATACCAGTTTTATAATATCATTCGAAAAAAAAGAAAATTACACAACATAAAAAAGTACAAATCTTGAGTTTTATTTTAAGCTCTGATTTTTCCATTTACATTTTTCCTCTTACATAAAAAAAAAAATTTCAGTGTCTAACTGTTACATTGTGAGGACCTTTTTACTTAGCAGTTTTCCTTTAGAAAAATGACCATGTCTGACAAACAAGCCCGTTGAATGGGATCCTACTGACAGCGCACCGCTGGTATGTGGGGGTCTGAGCAGCTCCGACAGAAATATTGGAAGGCAGGATGAACTGACTGCACTGATTAAGTTTTCAGGTGGATTTTCCCACTTAAAAACATAATAAAACTACTTTATTCCCACTGATCACAGCAAATATAGCTGCAAGGCAAAGAAAGGATAGAGTAGCTCCGCCCAACGCGCGTCAGACACACTTTTGCACCGCGCAGCCAGAGCAGCAAAGCTTCTTCAGCCGCGCGTCAGAAGCTGGTACAAGCAGCAAAAAAGGAAGCAGCAGACGTGATTTTGCTGCTCCTGCTTTGTCCAGTTTGAAAGCGGCATGATTCACTCCGCTCTGGCTTTGCTCTGCCCACTGGCTACTGAGAGGAGGATGGTCGCGCTGGCTGCGGTCCGCTCTTCTTGCAGTCAAACACCGAGAAACTTTCTACTCTTAAATTATTTCCGTGCACGATGTATTGCATTGCGCACTATTAGCATCAGTCTTAATAAAGTCAAGCCACACTTTTGACCGTCGTGGAACCCCTTTAAAATGCCCTTAAAGGGGTTCCACGACGCTCACAACCAGTTCACAACAGATACACATGAACCCTGGCTGTAGGCGTGACCACCTGTGTATTTTTCCTGGATGACGCAATCACGTTAAGTGTTACAGCCAATCACCGAAACTTGGTACCGAAAGACGAGGCGTGTTTCGATACTCTGTAGAACCGAAGCATTTCGGTCGGTACCATAAAAGAACCAAAGTTCGATACCCAGCCCTATTCTTGGAACAGATATTGCTTTTTCTTTCTCTATTTGCATCCCAGAAATGACACATCGATAATAAATGTCACGCATGTCTAAATTTAAACAAAAAGATCTATTAAGCAGTCAAACCAAAATCTAACATTTTATAGCTAATGTAAAAGAGTGGCAATGCATGCACCTACATGATCCCAAGGCATAGCTGCTTATTGCACTTATTGTTTAATGCTTGCAACTGTCGGCCAATTCTGACAGCTAGAAATGTCGGCCGGCCGATGTATCCATCTAACTTTATAAGGTGTATGGATGAACCCGTGTACATCTTAAAAGGCAACTTTGGAGTGTTAAGTCAGAAAAGGAAGTCACAGGACAAATTTCATCCTAAAACTGTAAGCTTTGAAATAGAATGTATTTATTGAATCAAAAACAGATGTGCATTTCTACTGCTCAACTGTTTTTTTTTTACCTAATTTAAACTGGTAACTGAGAAATGGACTGGTTATACCTCTCTTTTGGATCAGGTCCATTTTCAATGATACTTGATAGAAAACTTTTTTTTATTTTTGGATCGAAAGTGGTATTAATATCAGATTGATGCACCTCAAATTTCAAATGCTCTAAAATATGATCTGGATTTTCTGGACTTAAAAAAAAGTCCCATGTTAAAAGAGAATGACTCCTGATATGGAGTAATAAGCAACAAGAGGATTAGGAGGCTTAATGCAAATCATTAAAGTTATCAAATTCCTTTTGGGAACATTGCTAATAGAGAATTCACTCTTCTTGATAACGGTGAGCCTCATGCAACAACATTTTCATATTCTTGTCGTAAATTTCTCTTAAAAAAGACGTGGGCTTTTACGAACACACCACAACAGATTCATCAAATGTTCTTAACATCAGTAAACAATCGTAAATGACCCTCGTAAACCTGATGCAGTCAACCTGTGTGTGAGTGCTGGTTCCCTAGAAATTTAAATCTGCATAATTACTACCCCAATAATGCTATATATCTGTACATATAAGTGGGAGGGCTATGACTTCCCACTTTCTTCAGAGGGTGTTCATTCATAAAAATGGCACTGAAGATGAAGAAAAAAACTTTACAGGTTCAAAAATCTGCTGACTGGGAGCTGAGCTGCAACATTAAAGGACCAGCGAAAGCTTAGCAGTGAAATAAATCACAATAGCTGTAAATGCTGTGGGCTGCAATGTTATAAAACTAGAACATTAAAATAATATGAAAAGAAAAATAATTTGATACATATGATGTAAATGCTTAATACGATTTCCCAATCACCCATCATGACAACATTCCGCTAAATCTCCTTTTAATACTCACACATACCTGCACTGTACATCTCCAGACCTCGTCTGTCATCCCTTTATCATATTCTCCATCTTTCTCATACATGAACATAAAAATGTTAACGGTGAAACTCAAATTTGACCAATTCAGACAGACCCAAACCACAAACATTCCACATTTGTCAGAACAAAGCCAAGAAGCTGCCATGGAATAAAGTGAATGCAGGTGTTACCGTTAGAGGAGCTTTGCTGAACCCTCCGTCCATTTTCTCTTCCAGATTTTATTGCAATAGTAGCTTGATCTGCACTGTTCTTTGTTTTGATGAAATGACAACAAATTAAACCAGTATCCTCTGGATACCGACATTCCAGCTGCAGGTGTAGCGACCGATAGTTCTGTCATCAGCAAATAAAAATGTAATTTATAGTTTCAGAGTTGCATAATGTCACATAATAAAGTGACAAATGATTCTAAGTAAAACAAATGTAATCATTTAGTAAGAAATTAGGTTTGATTAACAGCTGACTGATTGTGCAAGACTCCTACGTCAAGTCAACAAACGGTGAATGCAACATTTTCTCCTAAATCACTCCATTAAACAGCGAATTTGTGCGTATGAACGGTCCTTGCATGAGGCCCATTATTTTTAAGCATGTATTAGAACTCAGAATAAACTTTCCTTTGATAGATTGTTCCTGGAGTCTTTTTTTATTTTTTATAAGGTCTCCATTTTTCCTGACTACATCTGTTGCTTTAAACATCATTTTGTGTCTGTCCCTGTTTGACTGCAGCTGTTCAGCAGAAGATGGGAGAGGAGACTGGAGCCAGGATAAGGGCAGAAGGCCGGGTGGTGGAGGTTGAGAAGCAGTGCTCAATGTTAGAATTTGACCTGAAGCAGTCGGTGCAGAAAATGGAGCAGTTGATGAAGCAAAAAGAAAGGCTGGAAGACGAGGTTAGTAAACTGCTGATGTTTATGAGATGTTGGATTTATTTAGGCTACCATAAATACAGTGTTGAAGATAATGGGTTTGCTCATTTTTGTTCAGGTCTGGACAAGTTAGATAAAAATATAATCGAGTATTTTCTAATACTCTAACATGGGTTAATTTTTTTTCCATTACTGCAATGGATTTCCTTCAATTAGAAAAAGATTTGTATGAGCGTTGCCATTTAGACTTGTTATTTAATGTATTCGACTGATGTACAACTTAGCAAAGTTGCCATTTATAGAGAGTTTTTCTGGGGTCAGGGAAATGAGGTATTTGAAATTAAGCATACAAGGAAAACAGGAAGAAGGGAAGGACAAAGCCTTGTGTGCTTCCTCCTCTCCTTACGTGCTTTGTCTTTTCCTAGTTTGCCTCCTTTTTGGCAATAATGTAAAAATCAGAAAATATTTTGTGACTTTACAAATTTAAATGTTGCCTTATATCCCTCCAAACCCTCACAACTCTTAAATCTTCATTGATTAGGTGAAAAGTCTGCACATACATCTGGAACAGGAGTCAAATAAGCGAGTCATTGCCCAGAATGACTTGAAGAGCCGCACTCAGGATGTTGACCGCCTACGGTGTTCAGAGAAGCAGCTCAAGCAGGAGATCAACACCGTGCTGGAAAGCAAACGCTCTCTGGAGTTCCAACTGGCACAGCTGACAAAGTAAGTTTAAAAAAAATATGCTTTCTTAGTGGTGCCCCATTAAAAGGTAGACTGAGTGTAAGAATTGTTTGGAAAATAAGTGGCTCAACCAATCTGGCACTTTGATTTACTGTAAAACGAGCTGGCAGCTCTTACTTTTTAACCCTGCTGCATGGGACAGTAAAGCTCTTAGGAGGTTAAGGTGTGAATTGCTTTCAAATTGCCTGTTATTCTCTAATAAGTGCTATTATTCTGGATTAGAACATAAGCATGGCAAAGCTGATCTGAGACAATGTTTACCCAACAGGATTAGGCCAGCTCCATCCACTAATTAGCTAATCCTTAACCCAATGTGTTCTAGTAAATAGCATAATTTTACATGCTTGTTTGTTTTGTTCCTTTTTGATATTTAAGTTTGTGATTTAAACAAAGGTCTTATTTCATTTCAGTTGAAAATAACTATAAATACCAGATAAATTATTCTGGATTTGTTTCAACAGGCAGTACAGAGGCAACGAGGGACAGATGAGGGAACTTCAGGACCAGCTTGAAGCCGAACAGTATTTTTCTGTAAGTGAAATTCCAAGGATCCAAATCCCTCTGCCGTTCTCCAACAAGGTAAAATGCTCATCTGTTTTCTCTTTCAGACACTTTACAAAACTCAGGTTAAGGAATTAAAAGAGGAGATAGAAGAACGGAACAGGCAGTTACAAGAAGCACAGAAGAAGGTGCAGGATTTGATAAGTGATAGGTAAGGGATGAAGTCGTCTCAATGTTAGTGCGGCTTTGATTATCTGGGTTCAAGGGTTTTAAGTTGTTTATTTTGTGCGACGCAGGGATTCATTGTCTGCTCAACTGGATCTGACGGTAACCAAGGCCGAGTCTGAGCAGCTCGCTCGGGCTCTTCAGGAAGAGCAGTACTTCGAACTCAGCCAAGAGAACAAGAAAGCAACAGCTAGGCACAAGCAGGAGTTGGGAGAAAGAGAGGCCACTATTGCACGGGTGAGCTAAACCGAAAAGTCTTTGTTTTAAACTTTATGGTGTGGCTTTTGCCTCAGAAACCCGGAGTGAGATTTTTTTTTATTTTACTTGTTTGCAGCTTGAGGAATCGAATAAAACACTGACCAAAGATGTGGAGACCCTCAGCAAAGATAACACAGAGCTGAGTGAGAAGCTTCGTCTTAAGGAGGAAGGTACGGTCCTTTGCTCAACTGTGTCCCTGCTCCATTGTAATTATGTAATCATGCTTAAGTTGGAACACAGTCTGGAAAAGGCAAGGCAAGTTTATTTATATAGCACAATTCTTTACAAGGACAATTTAAAGCTCTTCAAAGCATGAATTAAACAATAGAAGGAAAATATCACGTTTTGTCTATCTGTTTGTGCTTCCACATCCCAGCAATGAATTATATTTGTTCATCAATCAATCCTTATATCTTCTTTTCACTCCATATTTACATCATGACCACTGCAGAGCTTTCTGCCACAAATGGATTGTTTTAAAATAGCCTTAATACTACAATGAGAACGAAGGCTTCTTTAAAGTTTAGAAGTTTTTAAGTATACTGCATAGAAACCTGAAGCACTAAATACTTCATGCTTTGTCTTTTAGAATATGTCTCACAGAAGGAAGAGATCATGGCTTCAATCAAAGCCAACTATGAGAAGGTGCTCCAAACAGAGCGCACACTGAAGACTCAGGTAAGCATCAGAGGGTCTACAGAATTAATGATCTGATTACTGGCAGAATAATTACTCAGGGTTGGTATCTTTACTTTCAGGCTGTCAACAAGCTGGCAGAGATCATGAATCGTAAAGATATGAAGCTTGACCAGAAGAAGAAAGGCAGCACTGCAGAACTGCGCAAGAAGGAGAAAGAGAACCGCAAGCTTCAGCAAGAACTCAATCAAGAGAAAGAGAAGTTTAACAGCATGGCCATCAAGTACCAGAGGGAGGTCAATGATATGCAGGCGGTGGGTTACAGTCTCCATTACGGAAAACAAATGCTGTGAGTTTTCTTTGAGTTTTAATCCAGAACTCTTGGCTTTGCTGTCTCCAGCAACTTGCAGACGAATTCACACATCGCAATGAGCTGCAGATGCAGTTGGCTAGCAAGGAAAGTGACATTGAGCAGCTCCGCGAGAAGCTGAACGATTTGCAGCAAAGAATGGAGAATTCAAGCATCACCAGCTTGCAGACTGATGAAACGGACAGTAATCCTGCAGGTAGGAGTTTATCTTTGAGAAGTAGGACTCAAATGACTGGGGAATTATACAATTTAAGACTGAACAGTTACATGATTGAATTGTCGTCCTACTTTTTTACCATCTTAAAAATCCATTATAAATTTTTGCATTCAGAGTAGGAACTACGTTAATATATGTCCAAATCAGCTTATTTGCAAACAGTAAATTTACTGTTTTGTTTAACATATACACAAAAGTTAAGAGACGCTAATCTGGTGGCCAGTTTTCGATCTTCAGTTTTTGTACAGCTTTGATGTGCCGGTAAATAAAGTCACGGTTTTTCTTCCCCTGTTATTGCTTTAAGTGGCACAACTTCACTTTTATGATGTGAGAAGTACTTCTTCACTCTAACCTACTAATTTTATCTATCAGGACCAATAGTGCACATAAATCACGTTGTAATGTTTCCAATGTTATTTAGTTGAGCCTGACCACCTTGTCTTGAGCAAATGTAACTTCACTGAAACATTTTCTACATGTCGTGTATTTCTACGTTTTCTTCTCTTTGTTGCAAATCAAATGTAACTTCAACATCTGGAGGAACAGTGTGACGAACTCTTTGAAATCAAGATAAGTTCATTCATTTATGTTAAGATAAAGGGTAAATATTGACCCATCGGCTTAAAGGTATAGTGAAGGATGTTCTTTTAGCGAGTGGATCATCAAAATGATTGGTCCTCCTAAATCATTCCGGCGATATACGAATGTGCTCGTCCCCATTTTCACTTACCGTTGGTGAGACTGACATAGAGGAAAAATTACAAATCTTCTTTTGAAAAGTAAGCTTGTATTAGCCATGCAAACAGCAACTTTTAAACAGAGCGTGCACGAGGACAAATGGGCTTGTGCACGCTCTCGCACAAGATTTATAGGCATTCCCTCTCATGGGCGGGTACAGGTTTGTGCATATGCTTTTTTTTTTTGGTGACGATGGCAAATCTTTTAAAAAAATCATGAAAATCCTCCACTATACCTTTCATTTATTATATCCTGTTGTCCTCCAGTGTAGTGAGTTCTGGCGCCCCCACATGTTTCAATCCAGAACATTGATCACAAAAAGTGGAATCAGTTGATTTGATTGGATATATCAAAACAAATGCAGTGCCTGCCTTTATCATAGAAAAAAAACTTCAATGTGAAGCTGTCACATCTCATATTTATTTAACACACATGGATTAGAGAGGATAAAACTGGGCCACTCTTGTGGCACTCCATCCAGCCTTCTTGTTACCTGCTGAATGTCTTGCACACCTCTCTTTCTAACAGTGTTAATGGTAGAAAGTCATTTCAACAGCTTCTTAAAACTGATCTCCTTCTAGCTTTAAGCCGAATATAATATCGATCTTTCAGTTTCTAGTATGGATTTAAAATATATATAGATTTTTACCTAAAACACTGAGGGAAAATGGGCTACCTCTGCACCGCGACCCTGGCAGATAGCACTGTGCAGCCCTCTTGCTGTGCGGCACAGCGCCATATCTGTAGTTGAGGCCGTCACAGTGGAAGACCTGGACTCACTTAAACCCCAAACATGTATTCCAAAATAACTAAACAATCAATATCATCTGATGAACATATACATCACTTTCATTTTTTTTTTTCTATACTTTTAATTTTGATAGCTGGGAAAAAATATTGCAATACCGTGATATCGTATCATGACCCAGGTATCGAATCGTGTTACCCATGCCAATACTCACCCCTATTCTTCTTAGGAACAGCTTCTATGCAATGATTGTTAGCCTGTGCTGGTGTCCTTAGGATGGTTATGTTCATTGATCACTTTTTAAGGGTTATTGGTGAGGTCTGAACAAGCTGAACACTGAAAATCATCAGATTCTGGTCACCATCCAAGTTGTCTGGCATCTCTTAACTTACGTTTAGCACGCTGCATATCAGGAAGCTCATGCAGCAATTGATTAGTTAGCATAAGCTACTGTGGTTACCAGCATTAAAAGCCTTTGCAAAGCAGATGTACATAATTTTCTCTTGTTAAAACATTCTCTTTTATTTCCCTCTTGTCCAGTTGGTTCTCCTTACTCTTATCTCTGTAACTACTATTCCTTTTCCTCTGTGAGTAACTCGGTAGATGATCCCCTTACCCGTCCTGTGCTGCAGCTGTTGTGTTTCCTTTTTTGTTTTATTTATTTATTTTATCTGATTTCTTCAAATGTTCTGCCTGAGCTTCGGTATCTGTTGAAAGAAATGCAAAACTACAGCTGGAAGGCTGAGAATGAAAACACCTTTAGAAAATGATACTAAACATTGACACTACGGTGACTTGAAGTGAAAACACAATACTACCTTTAGCAGTAGTCGCCCAGTGTCCTATCTCACCGCTGGCATGTTTGTTGTGACACTAGAAACGTACTTGTATTTTAAAACACTGTTCTTTACACTTGTTAAACTCCTTTTATTTATTTTTTCCTATCTCTGTCAGCATGTTCACCAGTGATGATGCTAACCCAAAGATTTCTCTCACTCTGCTCTGTTGCCTAGACAAACCCCTTTCAGTTCACTGATCCTGTGGTTCTAGTTTTTCAGCAGCATGAACCAAACTCCTTTGTTGTTTTATAACAAAAAAATGTAGAAACAGTTGAACTATAACCTGTGATCATGGTGTTTGTGGAAGGACTTGGTGTTTGGAAAATAAGAGTCTAAACGTTCTGCCTGCAGTGCTGACCATAACGTACCAAACAGGGTTCCTATGCAGTCTGGAAAGTCTTCTTCAGCAGTCTAAATGTTTCTCTTCTTCTTTCCTGTCTTATTTTTCTCACCCACCCTCCTTGTACACTTTGTTCTTCCTTCCCTCCTTTTTATATTTTCTTCTTTTCTTATGTCCCACATCCAAGTCTTCTTGTCCTTTCCTGTTTTAATTCTTGTCTTACCTTGTATCCTGTGTTTCAGCCCTCGTTCAGTCTTTGCCTGACTTCCCTTCATGTATCCCTTTATTCCATCCCTCCCTGTGTACTACCACTCTGATTAGATTTGCTAGCTTTCCTTGTCCCTTCTCTTCCTCGTCTGCCTCCTTTTCCCACCCACTGTGCTACTTGTCTTCCTTCTCTTCTCCCTTTTGTTTGGGCTGAAACAAATAACCGGATTAGTGGTGATTAATTGATTATTGAAATAAACGTAGACTAATTTAGTAATCGCATAATCGTTAACTTTAGTATAAAGACTCTAAAATATGCTTTTTGCTGACAGAGCTACCCACTTAGAGCTGTATTTATATAAAAAATTCTAAAAAGAAGTATGAAAACATTTTGCTGTTAAGATAAAAATGTTTTTGTCTGTCATTATGCTCTAACCAGAACTCCTCAAGTGAAGCTTTTTAGTTTCACCTGGTTTAATTTAGAAAAAAAGGATTCTTTACGGAACAATTTGATGTCCGATTTTTAATCAATTAATGGAAAAAATGAACGACAGATTAATCAATTTGCGAAATAATCATTAGCTGCAGCCCTTCTTTCATTTTCCCTTTTTTTTAGTTTATTCTCTTTCCATACATCCTCTTTCCTTTATTCCTTGCATCCTTTTTTATGTTCTAGCTTGTCTTCTTTCTTCCTTGTGTTTCTCTTTAGTTTCTTCTGTCCTCTCTTCCCTCCTTACTTTCCTGTAATGCCTTTTATTCCTTCCATTTTTCCAGATTTTGTAGGTACATTTTTATAGCTTTCCTACTGCACCATAGCTGCCGTACATTCATATTTCTTTTTGTATAAAAAAAAAAAATGGTGTAAAGGATAGAGAACTCTTAATGAAACCCTGTAGGAACCCTGTGTGAATAGAATATAGATGAAAAATGCTGTTAAAAAGCCCCTAACCCTGCTTAATATTCTCTTCCTGCATGGGCTAGCTACAGTCTTTCACCAATTTGATTGCAGTCTCCTTAAACCTTTTTATATTTTTATTTATAGCAGCTTTGTAGTATAACCTTGGTCTCCCCCAACCCCCCAGTTAAGTTAGGATTGCTGCATGGCTTCTCTCTCTGTGCTGCATAAAGTGGACAAATGGTAACCGTTTGCATACGTGTTTCTTTTTAGAATCCAGATTGGAGGGCTGGTTGTCTATTCCAAATCGTACTAATATCAAGCGATATGGATGGAAGAGACAGGTACACCCCTTTGTTTTGTTTTTTCCTACCATCTCATTTGTCTTTTTTAAAACCTGACTCTACTACGAACGTTTTGACCCTTAAATTTGGCACCTGCTCTTTGTGTTTGATGTGTTTGATCATTTGCAGTATGTGGTGGTGAGCAGTAAGAAGATTCTCTTCTACAACGATGAGCAGGAGAAAGAACTGTCTAACCCTTCCATGGTACTTGATATCGAGTAAGTAGTTTGTTATAACTGTGATTTGAGGTTGTTTTTTTTTTCTTTTTGCACAAAAATGTTGTCTGATATCACCACTTCTAATTCAGGTCGAATCTTTATTTATTTATTTTTTTATAGTAAACTGTTTCATGTGAGACCTGTCACCCAAGGGGACGTATACCGCGCAGAAACAGAAGAGATTCCTAGGATATTTCAGGTTAAAATCTTACATCATGATTGCTGGTTTCATTTTTTTCCTGCCCGCTTTCTCATTTACTCAGATTTGTGTACATTTGTCTGTGCAGATTCTATATGCCAATGAAGGAGAGTGCAGAAAGGAGCTTGAGGAAGTTCCTGTCCCTCAGGGCGAAAAGACCAACTGTCTTGCACACAAAGGTCATGAGTTCATCCCCACACTATATCACTTCCCCTCCAACTGTGAGGCCTGCGCCAAGCCCCTGTGGCATGTATTCAAGCCGCCTCCGGCCCTGGAGTGCCGCCGCTGCCACGTGAAGTGCCACAGGGACCACCTTGACAAAAAGGAAGACGTTATTGCTCCTTGCAAAGGTAGGGTAACACTTTTGGTTAAAGGAAATCTAAGGCAGAAAAAAAGGAAAATCTAGACTTAGTTGTCCAAAATCTCGTTAGTTTCTAGGTCTATAGATAAGCATTGAAAAATAAATTCAGCTTTAGTATTTCAAGCCTAAATCTAAACCAACGGGGTTGATGTGTTGTGGTTTACTTTTTAGATGAAATAAAAGGCGTTAATAGAAATTGTCATTATTTTTTCTTCTCCTCTTCTCACATTAGTAAGTAGGGGTGTGGGAAAAACGATTTGGAGATATATTGTGATTTCGACTGCCCAGTATAATATCGATCTTTCAGTTCCTAGTATCGAGTTAAAAAAAATCCAAACATTTTTACCTGAAACAATGAAAGAAAATGGGCTACCTCTGCACCGCCACTAACTGATATAGCTGTGCAGCTCTTTTGCTGTGCGGCACAGCGCCATAACTGTAGTTGAGGCTGTCGCAGTGGAAGAATCAAACCCCAAACAACACGGATACCAAAATAACACTTGCTTTTTTTATCTTTACGCTTAATTTGATGGCTGTGAAAAATATCGCAATTTACAGTGATATTCTAATATTGTGATGTCATATTGTGACCCAAGTATCGTGACTCGTATCCTATCGCAACACCCATGCCAATACTCGCCCCTATTAGTAAGATGTATTTATGGACCTCAGTTTGATTGTTTATCTGCTCCCTTATCTCTTAACAGTAAACTATGATGTCACCTCTGCCCGGGATATGCTCTTACTGGCCGTGACCCAGGAGGAGCAAAAGAAATGGATCGGCCACCTTGGGAAAAAGATCCCAAAGACCCCACCTTCAACATTCTCCAGAGTCTCACCTCGTAGTATGTCCACTCGCTCCGGACCCAACCAGTCCTTCCGCAAAAACCCTAAAAGCAATACAGGAAAACTGAGGTAACTTGACTGTGTAACTTTACATGTTCTTCTTAAACACATCTTAAACACAATTTTACAGATTCAGGATTGAAATAGCTTTAAATCACTGCATAGCATTTTTTTTAGGGGCAGTAAGTAAGGGTGTGCTGCAGACATAGTTTTTTTTTTTTTTCTTTCAATCCCAGCTTGAAGGCTGAGATGTGGTAAAGTCAGTCACATGACCTGCTGTTTGTTTCCTGTGTTGTAGCAGAGCGCAGTCCAGCCTCCATGCAGCAGACACAACATCAAGCACTTGTTGACAGGAACTTCTTCAGAAAGTGTTGATGTTGTATTTTAGATTTTCCCTACTCACCTTCAAACCTTTTGTATTTATTAATAGCGCTACTGGGTCCTTTTTTTAACATGGGACACTTCCTGGTTGGTTGTTTTCCCTTCCTCCTGGGATCTTGACACTGTTTTTTTTTATCTAATTGACACTAAAATGGTTTTGGGCTCATTAACTAACATGATAGAGGTTGGAACGCTCATTGGATTTTTTTCAAATAGCCTTTATTCTCTCCTTTATCTGTCAAACATGGTCCAAATTGAAGCTGGTAATGTAGTTACATTCTCTGTTTGACTGAATACTAACAAATGTAAATGTAAATAGTTTTTTTACTGGTGTGTGTTCTGTCTTTCAGCTAACCATCTGAACCGTTGGGACTTTTTCTGGACTCTAAAACTTTCCCTCTTTTCTCATCAACAAATTGGAAAAAGCCTGTATTATAAAAGAAATGTATTGAAAACACATAAATTGCTAAACTAAAGCCGCTGAGAAACTGCGATTCACGCCACAGCACATTATGGTGGACTGTAAATGGCAGAATCTGCTCCATCTGCCTTTTTCTCCCCCCTTTAAAATGTGTCAAGCTCAACAAACTCGCAGTTCTACATTGTATCCAGAAGATGGCGTAATTCTCTCAAATTAAGAATGGACAACAGATGGAAGGCGTTCTCTGTTTCATGTTTTTTGACGGACATTAATGGAAACTGGAAATGTAGGGCGGGGGTGTATGGACTCCTGCACGTGTGTTTTCATTGTAAGGTACTGTTATACAGGATTTTAGTCCTGCAGTAAAAAGTTGGATCTCAGGGGGTGGAAAGCGGATTTACGAGTGAAGTCATTTCTTTCCCCACCTGACTGATATCTCGGCTAAATTTAACAGTTGTTTCCGACTTTTTAAAAATTGACAAAATGCCTTCATCTAGCTATTGTTGCTGGTCTTTTTGCCTTTTGTGTTTAGTTTCTTTTTGGTTTGTTTATTTGTTTTTGTTTTTTTTACACTTTGCAACTCAGTTATCAGATCTGGAAAAGCGTTTTTTGTTTTTCGGGGGTTAATGAGTATTAGGTGTTTCGAGTATTGAGAGAGCAGCATGCAAGATCATCATTTAAATCTATGCATTATTTTTATTCTAATTATTTTATTGCTCCAAGCCATAAGGAGAACTTGGCTGTAATGGCATATAGGAGTCGTAAAACTTAACGGATTTTGTTTTCTGTTTATTTGGTACATGTCTCTGTAATGTTTTTTTTTTTGTAATGTATTGCCTTATACTGGTTGATGGAGAAATGGCTCAAAAGGAAAACATTAAGTTAACTAATGTAAAACTGCACTGTTTGACTTGAGTGTAAATTATTTGTAGAAGACTAAACAGGTGTAGCATTTGGCCCCACCTTGTGCCTTAACGTTTGGATATTGATTTTACTGCCATATCAGTTCTTTTGTTCTTTCATTTTTTTTTTGCAACATAAGATAAATCTTAACTCTTCCATTGTTTTGTTTTTTTTAAGAAATTGCAACCTGTTTGGTTTTTATCAGAGTTTTTTTTCTGGTTATGAACATCAAAAAAAATATATAAATATATTAAAATACCTCTTCATGGACACAAAGTTCCAAAACTTGGTTCATATGTTAGAAGTTTCATAAAGGGTTTACGCAAAACTAGTCTGTATGAATGATGGACATATTAACAAATAAGTTGTTTTTCCTGTTAAGTTTAATTTTTTCAAAATCCCCCATTCAGAGTGTACATAAAGAAAGGATTATAGCATACCTCCACGGTCTTTAATTTGTAATATTTCTATTTTCTTTTCAGTAAAAAAAAACAAAAAAAAAAAGCACTGGAAATATGATCTCTTGTCTTGGATAATTTGCATGGGTAATTTGCATTGGACCCCGCACTGATGGATATGTCAATAAACATATCATTATCATGTTTTTTTTTTTTGTTTACTTGTATTTATCAGTTTAAATCTAACTTTGATTGAGGTTGTCATAACAATCACTTCAGTTCTGAGTTAAATAAAAAAATTGGTGCAAATAATAGTTGGGTGAACAAAAGCTAAAACCCACTCTACTTTAAATGACAATTTTGAAGGTTATGAAATATTTTAAAGAGAAGATTCCATCTATTTTCAGTCATTTTTAGAAAATAAATAATTTTATATTAACTCAAGAGGGAGATATTGTATGTCTTTATCATAGATTTCATGGTTATGGCTGACAAATGGAAAACCCAAAAAACTAAGTAAAGATTATGAAGAAATAAACAGAAATTTCAGGCTTCTAAATGGTTTTGTTTCTTTGTATTCAAACTTGGGGTCTTGTTTTGCATAGATTGCAACTTTCAACATGGAGGTGATCATCTGCTGGGACTGCTGATGTGTAAAGGAGGCACTAGTTGATGTAGAAGGATTAGAATCATCTGTATTTTGTGGTTTTCTCATCTTTAACACTTAGATATTTATTTTTTTGGTCATTGGACCAGGGTTTACTGCCTTTGACACTGTGGGCAGGCACCATATCCCGGTGGAACATGAAATCAGCTCCTCCATAAAGGCTGTCAGCAGAAGGAAGCATGAAATATTCTATACTATCATGGTTGATGGCTGCACACTTCAAGGAAGACGAACCAACACCATCAGATGACATGGCACCCTAAATATTCAATGAGTGGACGAACCTTCTGTTTTTCTGTACCCTTCCTCCAGACTCAAGGTCTTTAATTTTCCAAACATATTACAAACTTTTCTGTCAAATATTATTTTACACCAGAATGGGAAAAGCTCTGTATGTGTTAAGGCTCCTTGTCCAGCTCCCTTATATTTTTCAATTGCTTTTGGCTGACAATCCTCTCAAGGTTAACCCTGTGGCCGGTGCATCAATACGTACCACGTCTTCTCCTTTCACTGAACAGCTTTGGCTACAGGACTCTGAACGACTTGCTTCAAAGGGCAGTAGCCCCCTTGAGGAGAAACTTGGTGACCATCTTCTGAACATCTTACCAGTCAGCATTCTACTGGATGGTGCAGGAAATCTTTGCACATTCATTTCTGTTAATAAGCTTAATATGGTGTGATACTAATATTTGCACATTATTTAAAATATAAATGTAAAATAACCAAGGATTGTTTAATCCAGAAGTGTCATGTCACGGGGGAAATGCTGGGAGGTTGATATTAGTCTTAAACAGCCTCTGTGTGGATCATAATCTAGCTTTGGATATTTATATAGAATCAGTCCACAACACAAGCGCCCTCACGTCATAAGATCCGTAAAAGTAAATCAAATGGTTATCTGCTTGCTAACAAAGCTGCCTGTTGGCAGAGCTGACTTCAAACACGTTAACTCAACTTGAAGAAAGAAGATGTGGAACGTGGTCTTCCAAGCATTGATTGCTCTAAAATAGGATAAACGGCTGGATAAACATGGATGGCAAGGATCTTTAGATAATCACTATCTTTGGAAACTTCAAATTGGACCTCAAACATGCATTCGGAGCCCATTTGAACTACTAAAGGACAGTTTTCATAATTTCAGATTAAGAAATTGTTTAACTAATCTTAAGTTCTATTTTCAGTTACTATTTGCTTCACAGTCATATCAAGTTATAAGTTATAATTGTTTATTATAATTAATAATTATTATTTGTTATAGTTTATTGTGTACATTTTTCTACTACTGTCAAACTCTCCAATTTCCTGAGATTTAATGGTCAATTACAAATCTGTACTGAAAATGACTAAATTGATATTTTATGATTTTAATAAACTGATTAATTTTAAGTTTTCATAAGCCCTAAACAAAGTAGCGGAAATTTTTCTTTTTCTTTTTCCTAAAATGTGCACAGATACTGTAGGCGAAAAGCCTTCCAGCAGGATGACTAACATATTATCGAACACTCCTCACCAGTTGGTGGCGGTAATACTCACCTAACGTTTTTGCCAACTGCCATAAAAAATGTCAAGAAGAAGAAGAGCATATTCTCGGGCGCATCGATAAGTTCCCAGCGTGTTGTTGCAGCGTCATCCTGTCTGAATGAAGTTCAGACCCACAACTAGCCAGCTCCTCATTCGCGCCCCAGTAGACTGACACCAGAAAGCAATATTAGATACTCAGAGAAAAGAAATACTGCCAAACATGCCGGTATTTACAGGTATGCTACTACTTTATGACAGCGGGTTTATTATTATAGTTAAGACCAAAGCGCCATTCTTTACACGTGCATACTCGAGGAAGCGCAAATATGTTAGCTTAGCATCTAGCGTGCTATGTTGTTAGCGAGCTAGCAGTCAGAGGATAACCATCTACATTTAAAACAGACTGTGGCAGCTATTTAGCTGAGCGCTATTGTAAAACAAACACATACGTGTCATTTCGTTGTCTGTTAAGTGTTTTTGGTGTTAGTCCATCTAACTTTATAATGTGTTTGATGCAGCCGGTTTGCTAACTAGCGCCTTTAACCAAACCACCTATAGCCGTTGTCAAGCTAGTTTATTAAGGAAGCTTTAACGTCTGTGTGTTTACCTGCTTTTCTAAAATTAGTAAGTTAGAATAAAAAACTAAAAACACATTTGTGCAAGTTGAAGTTGTTTTATATTGTTATTGCCTCTTAAATTGGACATTTATAAAAAAAAAAGAAAACCAACTGCTTTAGCATTTATAGTAAAGTTAGCCTCATGACTGCTTCTTTTCAGGACATTGTTTACTTCAGCATGTTAGTTTTTTAAACCCATAATATTATAAGCCAGTTAACGTATTTATCACAATAAAAACTTCTGTAAAATGGTAATATATTGTCTATATAGTGTAGTAGTCTTTGATCAGGGAACCAACACTGTATAGGACTGTAGCAGCTATTTTCCCTGAGGCACAAGATGCTGTGTCATACACATACAACCATAGCAGGATTGTTATGGTGATGCCACTATAAAAAGGTTAAGTATAAATATAATAAGTATGTTGTTGTTGTTTTTTTCATTTTCAGTAAATGTGAAATGGGGCAAAGAGAAGTTTGATGCAGTGGAGCTTAACACTGAGGAACCTCCCATGGTTTTCAAGGCTCAGCTCTTTGCCCTGACAGGAGTTCAGCCGGACAGACAGAAGGTCATGGTGAAGGGAGGCACTCTGAAGGTACTAAGAAAGCATTCTGTTACAGCTGGTTTAAATTTCCTCGTATGAATTTTCATTGGGTTTATTTTAAAACTACCGCTTGTGTAACAAGCATAATGAATGCTATTGATTATAATTGCATTAATAAAGTCTGATTTTTGGTACAGAAAGTTGGTAAAAGTAGTAAACTATTTCAACTGTGGTCTAATTTTACTTAACTCTCACATTGTGACTGCTGCTGTCTACCAATTAGCCAATAGTCAACAGTCATTTCAAGTGCTACATCCTTTGTATGTTTGTCTGTATTTTCGTAGTCATTATTAAACAAGAACTCGTTGATTGTAGACACTAAAAGCTAATAGCTGTGTAACAAATGCATCCCTCCAGCTGTCTCTGTACAACTAACATCCCAAGTTGTCCTCTTTTTTTTTTTTTTTTTTTTATAGACTTGGACAGATTTATTTTGTCATTTTGTATACACGAGTGTCAACAAAAAGAAATTTCTTTTAGAACAGCTCTAGACAGTTTCATATTTTAAAGTGCAGCCTTGAAAACAGTAATAGATACATAAAAAATAGTAATATAACTGTATATTTACAATTCTAACATTTTTTTTTTTTAAATAAAAAATAAGTAATATAATGATAAAACAAAAATAAGAGCGATTTCCTTTAAAATGCCTACAATTTCTACAAAAATAAAATAAAATGCCTACAATTTCTTTTGGTATGACTATTAACTTTTGATCAGACATGCCTTTTATTCCAGCTGATTAATGTTTCCTCTCTATTCCAGGATGATGAGTGGGGAAACATTAAACTGAAAAATGTGAGTATTAATTGTACCTGGTAGGATCATAGGTGGTGTTTTGTTTATTTTTTTAACCTAATTTCTTTCTCCTGATATCTATCAGAGTTCTATGAAATGCATATAAATTTGACACATTTCCTCCTAGATCAGTTTCCATAGTTTGTTAAAAAATAAAGTATTCAGGTTTTCTGTGGAAAAGGTGGATGCATCGGGGGAATTCTAAATATTTCACAAAAATACACCATGGTCCTGTTTCAGAAAGTGGGCATAGACTAGTCTGAGTAGAGGGCAGTTATTCTGAGTCAATTTATTCAGCTCTGTGATATTCAGGATTCTGTGGTTATGGCGTTTCTCTCTGACTGACAGTCTAGCTGCAGACAACTTGAGCCGAACAGAGAGGGTAGCAGCAGATTGTCTGACAGATGTTGTAAACCACAGACAGGGAGCCTGGGCTCTGCAGCTGTAATGCTGCGCTGCTCAATTTCTAAGCTCCAATGCAGCAAGTTTTACCTAAAAAATGAGCAGCCATGATAAGGTGACCAATTCCATTCCATTAAATAAGAGGAGAATTGTCCTGTAATATGTGTGAATATGAGCTGATCCTTCCTGAGATAAAGGTTTGGCTCAAACATTAATAGTATTGTAAACACTTGCTGTGTCCAACTGTTAAAAAAAAAGGGTTAGGATCAGTTTTGTTTATTAAAGATGAGAAGTGAAAGATAAACAAAGCTTTTATTAAAAAAGTCACAACTAGTGTGGGGGTATGACTGAGCGAGGGGGAGAAATCTTAACAGGATGATTATTGAATATTAATCTGGGAGCTTTAGATTGTATTTTCAGAGCTAGTTATTTGATTTTTTTTAAAAATGTATTTCTTATAACTAATTGTGAGCATAGTCATCCAAACTTAGGTGTGTTTGCCTTCTTGAACATCTGAAAGTAAATCATGAAAAAGTAAAGAAGGCAATGGCAAACTAAGAGAGGTAAGAAGCCATGGACCGAATAATATGAGGAGGGAGAGATAATTGCTTCTTTAAATGTGCATTTTATCTGTCCATTTTTTTTGTAATACATTCTAAAATGCTAAATTGGAGGATGGTCAAAGATGTATATATTTTTCAGGATTCTGTTGTAGACTTTGTTTGCAGTCATTCTGAAGGTTTTATATATTTTTTTATATCAATATACAATGCTTCAGCAGAAATGAGGAAATAACTATTGTGACATAAGATTGTTCATATCATTCAGCCCTAAAGCACAGGCTCCTCCAGTAAAGGACGCTGTTTCTGATGCTTTTTTCCTGTCAGGTCTCAGCTGGTCATTTGTTCAAAAGATTCATGGTAACTTCTAGAAATGTTGCTACTGACTA